GGCGGCCCCGCGGCCCGGCGCCGCTCAGGCCGCCCCCCTCACGTGGAGCTCCACGGACGCCGCCATTGCCCGACCCCGCCGCCGCCTCGCTCAGCGCGTCACTTCCGGGCGGCGGACGGAAGCCGGTGCTCCCCTCCCCCCGCGCGGTTCCGGTTCCGGGTGAGGGCGGCGCCATGACGGGCCGCGGGACGCCCAGCCGGTTCCTGACGGCCGTCCTGCACAACGGCGTGGGCCGCTACGTGCGGCAGCTCCAGCGCCTCCAGCTCCTCTTCAGCCCTACCGCGGGCGACGCCCGCGGCGCCAGGTCCCGCCGGGGGCGCCCCGCCCGCGGCCCCTGGCCGCCGGGGATGGGGGATGGGGGACGGGAGGGGCAGGGGCCTGGTGACCCCTGACTGGTGGGGAAGGGGCTTACGAGAAGGTGTGGTGATCTCTGACCTGTCTGTGCAGGGAAAGGGGAAGGTGCTGCTGAGCTCTGACCCACAGGGGTGGGGGGGGAGGGGCTGCGACCCCCCATCTGTTACGCGATGGGGGAGGGACTAGAAGGTGGCACCGCTGACCCCTGACCTCCGACCCCACGGCGCAGGGGCAGGCTGGGCGATGGCCTCAGACCTGCAGCTGACAACACCCCTGACCTCTGCACCGTGACCCCACCCGTGGGCAGGGCACCACAGTGGGGATGACCCCACCTGTGACCTTTGCCCTGGTGACCTCCACCCTCTGACCCTGCTGGGGCTGGGGAACCCCACCCCCACCCCCCCCGCAGGCAGTTCGTGGAGGAGGCGGCGCTGGACTTCGCCCGGCAGCACCCCGATGTCGTTCTCTACATCAGCCCCCGCTTCGGCCCGGCCCCACTGCTGCTGGCTGAGTACTGTGAGTGTGTGGGGGGGCAAGGGTGGGGTTGGGGGGGGCAGGATGGGGACGGGGCCCTCCCCACCCTGCCCTGTCCTGGTTCTGCACAGCTTCTGCCCAGCTGCAGATGGTGCTGGGGCCGGCTGCCCTGCGGGACAGGGGAACAGCAGCTGCCCCCACCCCGGGGAGGGGGGGCAGCGGGTTGGGGGAGCCCCGGTTTGACACCCCACCCCACCCCCTGCTCTGCCACAGTGAATGGGACAGTGCGGGAGGAGCTCATCGCCAACAAGACGAGCGAGGAGATCATTCAGCTGGCCACCAAGCTGGCTGGCCAGTCTGGCCTGGACATCATCCGCATCCGCAAGCCCTTCCACACTGACAACCCCAGCGTCCAGGGCCAGTGGCACCCCCTCACCAACAAGCCCTCCGCCCTCACCATCCGGGGCCCGCGCCTGCAGCCCCAATAAAGGCTCTGATCCCCACCCTGCGCCTCCGCATCCATCTCTCCTCCTGCCCACAGAAACACGCTGCCACGCCACGTCCAGACAGAGCCGCGTTTATTGCCAGGGGGCACGTGGGGCTGTGCACAAGGGGTGCCAGACACGGAAGGCAGTGCCCCTCCTTGGGGGGGGGTGGTGTGTGCTTGGGGGGTGGATTGCCCCCCCCATCTTGCAACAAAAACAAGGGTGGGGGCAGGATGGGAGAGCCCAGGCATCCAGCTCTTGCCTTTTCTCACTAAGCCTCACTCTTCTGGGGCAGGAGGGCCAGGGCTCCAGCCCGTTAGGGACCCCAAGGGCTGCCACCCCCCTCCTCCCCCCCCTGCAGGGCTGAGCTTCAGGCAATGTCCTGATCCTGGAGGTGCCAGTAAGGAACACAGAGGGGAGGACACACACCCCAGCAAGTCTGTCCCTCCCCGGCTTCTCCGGTGTCACAGCCTTGTCCCCAGGGTGTGAGATGCTTTTGTCACCCTAGTCCCTTGGGTTCCCCCAGGAGGTGGCAGGAGCAGAGGTAGTTGGGGGGATTTAGGGGCAGTGGCTGCCCCTGGAAAGTGCCATGAAAAGCAGGAGGCCCCAGAGGGAGGCAGGTCCTTGTCCAGGGCTCCTCCTTACTGTGCGAGGACACTTCCCCTCCTGCATGTCCCACAGGGGACAGGGCTGTGCCTGAACCCCAGTTCTCCAATGGCACCATGCAGGAGGGCAGAAATGTGGTGCCCGGGGCTGTGGGGGCACTACGGACATCGGGGGGTGGGGGGGAGACGCGAGTGCTGCACTGGTCCCTCGTCATGCTGTGGGGCATGGCAGTGGCTGCCAGTGCATCTTGCTGCCTGCTGCTGCATCCTGCTCTTCCCCTGCAGCGCTTTGGAGAGAGGGGGCAGAGCCCTGTCAGGGTTGGAGGCCCCGGGGGTGCCACCTCCCCAGGGCACCAGCCCTGAATTTCACCTGGGGCCTCCTTGCAGGGGGCACGTGCTGCTCCATCAGCTGCTCTGGGGCATTCGGGGACATGGTCTCCTTGCCCTGGCTCAGTCCCTCGCCGAATTGTCCTCTCCCGGAGAGGAAACCCTGGGGGGACAGATGTGGGAGAGCGGGCAGGGGCTGGCAGCCACTGAGGCCACCCCCTGCAATGTGAGATGTGTCTGAGGCCCCTCTCCTGCCTGTGAGTGGGCAGCTGGAGGAAACCCCCCCGACCCCACGCCGGGAAGGGACCCTGCACCCTGTGAGAGGCGCAGGAACCTTGAGCAGCCCCCAGCCCCGCTCCCTGCTCCTCACCCACCTCTCAGCAGCAGTCCAGCTCCCATGCGCTGAGGGATGCCCAGCGGGGCAGGCCAGAGTCCACGCATCCACAACAGCATCTCTCATGCCTGGACGGACGGACAGACAGAAACTCTCCCTCCCCACCCTGGTGTCCACCTTCAGCCAGGCGCCAGCTCCTGCCTCCAGCTCGTGGCCACCGTTGGTGGGTTTTTATACATAAATAGAGCTCCCAAATTTAAATAGATTATTTTTCTTTTTTTTCTTCTGTACAGCGAGTCTCAAAAGTGAGTGAAAAGCCGAAGGAACAGCCGAGCCCGGGCCCGGCCCGGCTCTGCCATCCAGGAGGTAGTTTTGCCTGAGTCTTGTAACACTGCTGGCAGGGGGTGGGAGAAGGGGCCGGAGGGCAGGAGGGTCCCGCTGGCAGGACCCCCCCTCCGGCCCCTACACGGAGCTCTCGTCCAGCTTTTCCACCAGCTGCGTGTGTTTCCGCTTCTCCAGGATCTTGCTGAGCTCCTCGGTGAAGGATGCGCTGTAGAGCGGTGAGGCCAGCGGCTCCTCCTGCTGCTGCAGCAGCATGTAGCTGTTGCCGTTCATCTTGCGGAGCACGTTCGGCAGAGCCCCCACGCCGTTGGTGAGCTCGGCTGGCAGCGGTGGCGGCGGCGGCAGCGGGGGCACGGCAGCTGGCAGCTCCTTGACTGGGGAGGTGGCAGCCGTGGGTGCCTCGCCGGGGATGATCCGCAGGCAGCCGTCGGGGTAGGTGAGCTCTTCCTCCTCCTCCTCCTCCTCCCGGCGGCCCTTGCGCAGGCAGTTGGCCGAGACGGTCTGCAGCTCCACGCTGGCTGGCCGTGGCTCCCCCAGGACGTACTTGCCCTTGCGCTTCTCCAGGCAGGACACATAGAGGAGGACGGTGCTGAGCACAGCGCACAGCACCACCAAGGCGACGATGGCGGAGACATAAGCCACCTTCATGTCGCCAGCTGCCTGGCTGGCGGCGTGGGGCCGTGAGGCAGCCGTGGGGCCGCGAGGCAGCTCGGGCAGCACAGTGAGGCTGTAGGCGGCCAGCAGCGTCCGGAGACCCCGCTCCTCCCCGTAGCAGCGGTACTCGCCACTGTGCTGGGGCAACGTGTCCGTCACCAGCAGCCCGTCCACCCCAACACGCAACCGGTCCTGCCCCTGCGCCTCGCTGCCATTCAGCAGCCAGATGGCTCGTGCCAGGTTGGAGTGCTGGTCGCAGGGCAGCAGCACGTCGTCCCCCTGCAGCACCGTCCGGTTCTTCCACGGCAGGGAGCCTGCGGGGACACAAACTGCCTCGCACCCACCTCAGCCACCCTAAGGGACGCCGGCATCCCCTGCAGTCTTGAGGGGTAGCGCAGACTCACCCCGCCCAGAGCTGCTCCGGCATCCCTCGTTGCCGCTCTGAATGTCCTGCACCAGCCCTGTGCTGCAAGACATGGGGGGCTTCAGCCATACAGCCCCAGCTGAGCCCACCCTTACAGGGTCACGGCCACTGGAGACGCGCTGTCAGATGCCAGATCCTTGGGGGTGGCACTGGGGCCACTGTGCCATAGGGTGATGTGCAACAGCACGGGATGGGGCAGGTGGAAGGCTCGTGGGGACCCCACCGGGGATGGCCAGCCCGTCTCTACCTGTCTGCAGTGGCGATGGCGCGGCAGGCCCTGCCATCCCAGGCGCAGTAGGGGTCCCGGGCGAGGATGCAGTCGTAGCAGGAGGCGTACCTGGCGCAGGAGGCCAGGGGCACCTGCAGGATCCCGCTGGCTGCCCCCACGTACAGGCTCCTCTGGGGGGAAAGGGCTGGCTCAGCACTGCTCCAGCATGGTGCAGCTGGGCTGTGGGGTGCCCCATAGCACCCAGAGATCCCCCCCAGCCCCCCAGCACAGCTCTCCCTTGGCGGGGGTGGACAAGGAAGGGCCCCCAGCTCCAGTCAGTGCCGATGGTGGCAGCTGGCACCTGGCAAGGAGGCGGGGCCCAGGCTGGTTCCTTTCCCCAGGCTGCCCCACTGGGCCCTAGCACGTATCCCAAGCGGGAGTGACCCAGGAATCATGTCCCCCCTGCTCCCCCAAACAGCCCAATGGCAGCTTCGCAGCACAAACGTGCCCCATGTGTGGTGTCCCCTGACTTCTTCCATCCCTCACCTGGGTGTGGGAGATCACCAGGCTCTCCACGGGCTGCTGGTCCCCAAACACCTGCACCTCCTCCACAATGTGGATGCCGGAGCCCACCACCACGGCTTTGTGGATCCAGCCATCCCCTGGAGAGCAAAAGCGGGGGGTTAGGAGGGAGCGTGGGGTGTCCCCTCCGCCCAGCAGAGACCCAGCAAACTCATCCCATGCTCACCTGTCCCCATGAAGAGCACATCGTAGGAGTGGCCGTCGAGGGCCCGCACCCTGTCCACAGCCAGCTGGCTGTATACCACACTCTTCTTCACCAGCAGCGGCTCCTCGCTGGCCGGCTTCACCTCCTCAAACATGAGCGGGTGCAGCTTGATGAAGTCCAGGACGCTGTTGGGCAGGTCCTGTGAGGAGTTGTAGCCCTTCCTGCGGGAGTGGTCCGTGATGCACTGCCCGGGGGAGATGAGGGTCAGCGGGGGATGCGGTTGCCCCATGCCCCCCCCACTCCATGCCACCGGGCACTCACAGAGCCGGGCCGGGGCTCAGGCACCGCACCGTCGTAGCGGGACCACTTGCGAGCTGAGTCCTGGTACTCCATGTACGGGCCCTCAAAGGCATGCTGCACTGACGAGATGCTGTAGCGGCACACGGCTGAGGCCTCCATGGTCCTCCTGGGGGGCAGAGCCCCACCTGAGCCCGGGCAGACACACAGGTGCCCCCCACCAATGCACCCCCAGGTGCTCAGCACCTGCCTGTGCGTCCCCTCGACCATCTCTGGTCCCCCCATGCTGCAGACTGTTAGCCCCAGCCATTTTGACCGCTGCCCCACTCACCACTGTGCTGAGAGTGTGAAGGCGGCATAGAAGACAGTGCTGGCCCAGCCACCCCCGTCCAGGCTGCAGATGCTGCGCAGGACCTCGTAGTAGGGGATGTAGCAGACCAGGCGCGCCTTCATGAAGGACGTCCATTTGCGCTGCAGGATCTTCTTCCCCCCCACATCGCTCTGGGAGAGTGCAGGGAGCATTTCTGCACAGGCTGCTGGGGGTCTGTGTCCCCCTCTGCCCGTGCCTCAGTTTCCCCCAAGGTGTGAGTACACAGCCCCTGCACTCGGAGGAGCAGCGCTTGGCTTCCTGTGGCCAGGGACATGCCTACCTTGCAGACACGGGCCACCCGGGCCACCCGGGCCACCTGGTTCTTGTCAAAGAAGGATGTGGTCTCCTCACCCGCCCGCTCCATGAAGAAGTAGTAGATTTTGTCATCGTCACCCACGGGGCTGTCCTTGCTCTCCTGGACCAGCACAGAGGCCACAAACTCGGCATCTGGGGGACGCGGAGCGAGAGGTGCAGATGAGGGACCCACCGCAGGACGGGGGATCCCTCTGTGCCTTGGTTTCCTCTCATGGCAAACCACACAGGACCCCAGGGCCACCCCCTACCCCTGCTCCACACTCCCCGAGGCGATGCACAGTGTACCATGGCCCATGATGCCAGTCCTGGGGGGGACACAGGGACATCTCACCATTCAGCCAGTGCAGCGGGGACTCCTCAGTCTTCAGCGGCCGCTGGTGCAGGTTCCTCCGGATGTCAGGGAGGCTCCGAAACTCGTAGCGCGTGGCCGTGTACAAGCCACCGTCTGGGCAGGGCAGGCACCCGTCAGCATGGCCCCACACCCTGGGGACAGCAGGGACAGCCCCGAAAGCCCCCAGCATCCCTGTGCCCCAGGCAGAGAAGGAGGAGGAGGAGGACCAAGTCCTGGCTTGCTAAGGCCCTCCCATGCAGACCCCACCCAGCTGGGGACCCACCCGTGGGGCCACTGGGGAGGGGGCCAGGGTCGGTGGCATCCCACGTGTCCCCGCCAAACCTGGGAAAGGTGCCACTTACCCACAATGAGGCCGGTGTAGCCCCGGGCAGGGTCATACGGGCACTTCTCCTTGCCTTCTTCAAAGTGGGACGGCAATGTGAACCTGTTGGCATCCTTGAGGGGGACAGGGGACCGGGTTAGACAGGAGGGGACAGAACTGCCTCGCCTGCCAGCCCCAGGCTCTCTTCAGAGGCTGCTAGTGGGCACAAAGCAATGCCCACAGCCATGCCCTTGTCCAGGCAATACAAACTCCCCCGGCACCCTCCAGCTGGTCAGAAACCACACGGACAGCCAGAGCCCCCACCCAAAAGCAAGGAGAGGTCTCAGGGGGGAAGGGGAGGCCCAGTACTCCACTTTGGCATCATGTGGGCATCGGGCAGGAGCCAGCCAGCACAGCCAATGTTCCCGGGCTGTGCCTGGCCGGCAGACACTGTCCAGCAGGGCTGGGTCCCCCTGCGTGACAACCCCATCACGGCTTCTTTGGGGTTTGCAGTTCAAAGCACGTCAAATAATGACGGGGCCCTTCCAGCTCCACGGCTCTTCCACCTGACTCCCAGGGCGTGCAATGGCCAAACCGGACTGGCAGCACAGCTGTGGGAATGGGCATGGCCCCTCCAGGGCTCCCCGGCCACGCTGGGGACAGCCCCAGACCCCTTTGCAACCCAGCTCAGGGAGGGAGGTAGGCAAAGGGTGGCTGTGTCACCAAGGAGCCACCGCTCTGGAGGTGAAAGTCCCACTGCTGGGGGAACGTGGCTGCCCCCAGCTTCTCTGTCATGAGTCACAGCCACGCAAGGACCCCCCGCCACCTGGTCCAGGAAATCCTTGGGGAGGGGCTGCTGAGTCAGCCCTGGCACCGTCACCCTCCCTGTCACCCTCCCTGCTACCTGCTACCATCACCCTCCCCAGGCACGCTTGCTACTGGCCACCAGCCAGTCCGCAGCCCCGCTTTGGGAAGAGACCCTGCACTGGGGACGAGCTCCAGTGCTGGCACATGCCACCCTGCTTGCGCCACTGAGCCCACGTGTCCCCCCCATGGCACCGATCCCCGTGCCGGCCATCTCGCTATGGGGTCAGAGTCCAACGCTAGCGCCAGGGTGGGGACTTTGAGCACCTGCGTCATGGTGGCTGCATCCCCAAACCGACCCACCCCAGACTGGGGGTCACTCGCCTCCCCCCACAAGCTGGGGAGGGGCAGGGACAGGGGCAGAAAGGGAGCGGGGCTGCAGGAGATGGTGGGAGAGGGCAGGGGCTGTGCCACTCCAGGGTGGCATGGTGGCAGGGGACAGGTGACAGCTGTGGGGCCGAATGGTACTCACGATGGAGGCGCAGAGTGGGTGGAAGGCGTAGGTCCCACAGGCGTAGAGGTGGGTGCTGTTCAGCCTCTGCAGAAACCGCACGTGGTTGAAGCATTCGGTCTGCGGAGAGGGAGGACAGGCATCACCACCCGGGGAAAGTGGCGGTGGCCCCCTCCAGCACCTGGCACCCACCCACCGGCTCTACCTTGTTGTTTTTGCCCTTCTGCAGGCAGTCCATCTGCTTCTCCGGGGAGGCTTCCCAGTGGATCTGCAAGGGGAAGAGGGACTGCCACTGTGTGACCCCCCACCACTGTGTGGTCTCCCCGTCACTGCAGGCTCCAGCCTCTGCCAGAGCTGTCAGAGATGCTAAAATCCTCTTTTATTTAGAGAGGGGACAGCTGCTCAGAGCACGAGATAGCATCCTGCCTGCATCCCCCCAGCCCGGGGCGAGAGCGGTCCCACACCCTGACCTGCGGGCAGAAACCCCAGAGCACCCGCAGGATCCTGGAGGATTTTGGGGTGAACTTCCCAGGGGGAACAAAGGGGTGTGCTTCCCCCCCTGCCCCTCATCCTGCCAGGTTGTCCCTGAAGCAGGCATCTCTGAGCTTGGGGACATTTCCCACCGCTGTCCCCACACTGCCTGGCTGGGGAGAAGGACCAGGCATCCACAGGGGACCTGGGGACAGACCTGGGGACAGCACCTCCAGGCCAGACCTGAGATGGCGAGCAGGAGGATGAGCAGGGATAGGGTGGCCATGATTCGGGCAGGGACTGGGCAGCGTGGGACAGGAGAGGACAACCAGCCGGCAGTGGCCAGAGGCTGGGCTCACCGTGCGGTGGGAGCCATCGGCCACGTCACTGGAGTTGAGGGCGAAGATGGCTCCCCTGGCGCCCACGTAGAGGATGCCCCGGTCTTCCTCCAGCAGCAGGGTGCTGTAGTTGAGGGTGTGTGCGCTGAAGCGCCGGATGCCCAACAGCTCTGCAAAGGGAATGGGGCGCTGAGGGGGGACCCCGGGGCAGGCATGGCATGAGCCACCGGGGAAAAGACAGAGGATGGAGCCAGGAGTGAGTGGGAAGGCACCCACCGAGGTTATCAGGCAGACAGCGCCGGGTGTCAGCAGTTATGGCAGGAGGAAAGGAAGAGGGGAGGTTTGGTAGGAGGTGAAAGAAAGGCACTAATTGGGCTCAGGCTCATAGGGTAAATTTCTCTCTCCTAACTAAAATGGCAGCTCAGGGGGGGAGCTGCGAAATTCATGCCCAG